ATTCACCAAGGAGCCAGCGGTGACTTCTCTCCATTCTCTGGAGAACACAGCAGTACCTGCGAGGTCCTCGAGCTCCCAGACCTCCATCCTCAGTGTTGTACCTGAACAGAGGCAGCACACGGGTGACTTCCGCCTGACATCTGCCGCAACAGCAAGACCTCCCTTCCTGCAGCCCAGAAACTACCTATATGATGTTTTTATTTATGAATAACTGTTCCCCATAAATTGTCAGCAATTAAGACCATCTATGGATTTCGAAAACCAAACCAAATAACAACCTTTCAAAACGCAGTCTTCCCGACTGGTGGGCACCCCACCCTGCAGGTCTGAGGGGCAGCCTGGCTAAGCGTCGGGGGTTTGTCATCGATTAGCTGATTAGCTCAGCCGGCACTGATGGCGGCGGCTTCTGCACTCAGTGTAAGGAAGTTAGCTGTGCGTTAGGGAAATCTGACTTTGACCTCTATTTCTGAAAGTCAGATTAGAATTACAAGTTACTCTACACAGGTAACCAGCACGCAGTCTGCGACAGTGAAGGCAAGTTGAATAGCTCAGCCAGCACTAAGGAAGCGCACATTTACTCACGGGAGGAGGGACAAGACCCCGCACCCGGCGGCCCAGTTTCCTAGGGAATCCCTGGCTACGAGGGAAACAGTCTTTGTTGCAATACCCCAACAAGGAAAAGGGGAAAAAGAGGCTCCTTGGACAAGATAAAAATAAGGCTTCTAGACTCACACTAAGAATTCCCTGTATGTCACTTTCGCAGGCTAAATTTAACATCCTTGAGCATTACCTATGGCTTCCTCTACAAAGCAGGCAAACTGGGAACTCGCTTCCTCTTTTTAAAAAAAGAAAAGAGAGAAGTTCTGGTTTAAATGCCTGGACTGCATTACAGACTGGCTCACTGAGGGAGGAAAATCCTTTCTCTAAAAATTAAAAATAAATAAAGAGGGCAATTAGAATTATAAAACTTTAAATTATTTTCAGGATGTCCGATCTTCCATCGGACAGAACTAAGGTAAACAGTGGCTGCCGCATCCCTTTCAAAACGGGAGCCGCGTCGTTTCAAACAAAATATTTATCTCGAGGGTCCGCAGGCGGTCCCGGTTAACCTGCCTCCTGAAACGCTCCCCCTTAAGTTGCGTGCGGGGAGGGGGGATTATGGAAGGTTTTTCTTTAAATGACAAATTCGTATAACTGGAAGTCTGTCTCCAGTTTGTTTATTGACCGGTGGCCATCTCTGGGGGCAGGACTTTACTGAAGGGTGTGTAAGGAATTAAGAATTTCAGAACTGGCTTCTGTGAGAGAAGGCAGCTTGTGTAATTAACAGCATGTATGGGCGTATTGACGACTCACTGGGAGTCGGCCATAAAGTTGGTGAAACAGCCCATCCCTCCGAACTCAAGGGGAAAGCCTAAAAAGCACCTCAACTGAAACATCCATTTGCATGATGTCATCCTTTTCTTACCCCCACCCCGACCGCTTGATCTAAGAAATTCTAGAATTTTCCATAAAGAGCTGCCTTCGGTGCAGTTTAACCTCTGAAAGGTGATAAAATTGTTTCCCTGGTACTCGGGGGACAGTAGGGCTTTTTTTACTGGAGTTTATGGTGTCTGCTTGCTTTTGCGTGTATAACTGAATTAAACTGTGCCCCCACGACTCGGTGGTCCCCCTTCCGAAACTAAAGGGAATGCAACGGAGGGGTCAACTTTCACCTGGGTTAGAGGGGCTGAACTGCTAACCAGCTAGTAATGGTGAACCAGCGCCCTCACACCAGGAAAACAGGCTGGTCAGCTTAGCTGGGGTCCGAGGGGAGCAACTCCCAACCAGCCGGAGGCGTGCTCCCCTCCGTCTGCGCCCTGCCCGGCAGGCATGACCCTATTTTTTTCATCCCTCGCACATGCGTTTTCTTCTCATCTTTATTCACATCGCGGTTCCGTCACATTGCCTTAGACCACGATGCCTAAAAGGACGTTTCAAAGGCAAAAGTGCCCCTTGATCCAGCCAGCAGTACCTAACTCCTAGCCTTCTCATCATTTAAATAGCCCCTCTATGTCCCTTCAGGCACAACTATCGATTTTTAAATTTTCTTTCTATTTTTTTGTCAGAGTGGTGATAAAAATCTACTCAACTTAAGTCCTAAAACTGTCAGCTGCTTTTCCTTTAACCCCAGATTCGGGGTACAAAGTAGAAGTTAGAGAATTATTTGTTTTGTGAGACAATATTATTGAAACAATGTTTCTTTAATAGTTAAAACACCACCCTGCCTTGGTGCATTGCGGTGAAATCTGCTGGGGGGGGGGGGGGC